ACCCACCCAAACCACTCCCCACGCACGCGCGCGTCTGGAACGATACAAACCATAAACCAATTGACCATTTTTAATCTGTACACTGCTCGGGCAAAACATTTACAACACATCCTGTAGTGTGTACTATCGCCATTATATGCACAAAACTAGCTCCTATTAATCGAAGGAAGGTGAAAAGAGGGGGAAACAACATAATCTACAACTCGAGCACCCAAAAGACCAGCAGTTAGTCCTCTGATTCTGTAGCTTGTACAGATGAATCAAGTGATCAGAAAAAAAACCATTATCAGAAGAGATCCAAAATTTCCTTCCTGTTGGGCTTCGGTAATGCATAGAGCTGATTGTGTCCAACAATTAAAGGTACCCCACTTGAATTATTAGATGAGCCTGAAGGACTTAGAAAAACATGATTTGTATGTGCAAAAAAGTTACGGACACCCTCAGGCATGGCTTGGGGAGATATCCGTGATGATGCCGATTCAGAAGTTTCTAGAGAGCGGGCAGCCTCACTGTTGAGAAAACACAACTAAAGATGAGATTGAATTATAGAAAGTCTCCATAAATTACATGAAGCAAAGCCTAATAACTTACTCGTTAGCTACTTGTTTCCCTTTAAAATTTGTTTCACTTTTGACTTTTGTCCTGTCCCTAGGGCTATATGTGTTCTCCTGTAATGAGATACAATAGTGTATTTAGTACTTTAAGGCATCTGAGATCATAAAGTGAAAGGAGAGAGACTAGAATTACAATAATTTTTATCCGTGCAAAGTCCTGAATAGACCCATGAATTTTGTGGTGCTGTAAGTTTCGAATAAAAGGGTGATCCAGCAACATTGTTGCTGTCGGCCTATCTGCTGGATTTCTACAGAAGCATCGTCTCAGAAAATCCTTGCCCTCAGACGACAATGTATCTGGTATTGGTGGGTCTTTATGAAGGACTTTAAACATTGCTGCCGCCTGTATGCATTAAGAACAAACAATTTCAGATTATCAAGACGAAGAAACTTAATGTCATTATTTAGCACTTTAAACCATAATAGTTTTCCCTACTTTCCACTGATATACTCTCACTTGTTGTTGGTAGCACCTACATATCCTGTAATTTCTAAAAATTGCACTTTAATACCTTACTGTTATGCAAACGTGAGAATATCCCCTAAATATTCCCATGTGACACAACAAGTCAAATTTAAAACATTTTAGCCCCCAATGTTTTCTGAATTTACTATTAGACCCAGAATACTTCTATTTTAAAATATAATTAGGGCAGATTTGAAATAGAATTATGGTATATTTAACAGTAAATTCAGAAAACACTAAGAGTTAAAAAGCTCTAAAATTAGCGTGTGAGTGTCATATGAAAATGTTCGGGGTAATATTCTCACGTTTGCATAAGACGAGGTATTAAAGTAAAAATTTCAGAAATTTCAGGGTGTATAAGTGCTGCCAAAAACTGGTAAAGGTATATATGTTCCAAGTAGTGGAAACTATAAGGTATTTAAGCGCTAATTAGCCTAACAACAACATAGGTAGAATGCAGAATGGAGGAATAGTGGTTCCCTTAATAGCATTTCATGACAGGCACAATTTTTGGCTATAATAGCATGTTCTTGTCCAAATGTAACACAGTTCCAAGAAAAATACATAAATGAAATCAATGGATAGGTTGTGGCAGCTCATTTTGCTAAATGAGTTACTAAGACATAGACTCATGGTGAGGCCCACCACATTATCACATCAGATCAAGTGGACCTCATCAGTCAAACTCTTGATAGCTCATTTTGCGAAATGAGTTGGCAGCTCGCGTCCAATATCCCTGACATAAATTTGTATGAATGTACCAGTTGATGCTATAGGGGAAATTTTAGTTTTTTGTTTTGGTAAGTTTGTGCAAAGAGAACTGTTGAATGTTTATTACCCCTTCTAGTCCACTCCAAGGATGCTTCCTAGTGAACATTTCAATAATTGTACATCCCAAACTCCAAATATCAACAGCATAATCATAACCCACATCTTTATTCATAGTAGCCTGGACAACCTGCACGTAAGAAAACATTAATACAAGAATTGAAAGGATGCTAAGATGTTAAGCACAAAACAAAAAAAGTTAATAATGCTCACACACTTTATCATATGAAACAGACATGAGATGACATGTCCATTTTATGAAATGATCTGCCAAGAGATGAAGAATTGTCTCTCACATTGCTTCTCACATCAGAAAAGAAGGATCTCACTACTTCAATCTCTTTGCAGCTTATCTCCTAGAAGAGGTGACAGCTCTTACCCGGTAAGAGAGTGTGTGTGTGTGTGTGAAATAATGGTATGACATATCAAGTCATTCAAGTATCAAGAAATAGACTATTGGTGAAGCCTGTCCTGCTAGTCACGTTGAAGAAGGTGGACCTCACTATTCCATTTATTTTTCTAAATAAGGTTAGCATCTAATATCCAATATCCTTATGTGTATACCAGCATAGAAAATGGAGTTATGTCAATTCAAATGTAGGTATATTACTTGATTATAGAAGTATCTCATTCATGATCTTGAGAAAAGCCCAATCAAATGCAAGGATATAATCCGCAACTAGTCTCCAAAAGTAAATAGTCACAACCTAGAAAATTAGAAAGGAGACTCCAACCCACTCACGCAACAATACCCCCCCCCCCCCCGCGCGACGAAAAAAACCACACCGCGCACGCACACATTTTGCTAAATGAGAATAGCACTCACTAGTAAGTTGAGCTTTTAGTTATTAGGCTATATCTACTAATTAGTTTCTTGAGATAGGAGTCTCTTACAAAGGAAACTGATGTAGCTCGAATTAGGAATCTAAATGATGCCAAATGCCTACTTTAGCTCCTTTTAGAATTCTCCAAACTCTCTTCTGACCAAATCATTTCCATATTTGGTTTTAGAAAAATTTTAGATCCATGCATTAATATTAAGATACTGAAGCACATGTTTCAAAAAATAGATTTGTTTTTGTCCATGTAGTTCTCAACATCCCCATTGATGACAGCCTAAGACCAGACGATACCAGCATCACATCGCAGTTCCCACCATTAAGTTCCTCATGAATCATGATCTAAGATCATCCTTGCCAGACACCTTCGACATTCTATGGGTCTAACCCGAGTATAGTTTGAAGTCAAGTATTTTCATTATATTCCATTGAAAAAATCTCGAAAACAAGTTTGAGGCAGAATGATCATTTCATTATTTGCACTACGTTCCATTTTAGAAACTTGACATGAAGTTTGAGGCAGAACGTCATTTCAGTTTTGAAGTTGATGAATATGGAGATAGAGAATATGAAACGAAACTTATCTTTTAGTAGTTTCATATCGTCAATTTAGATAGTTATTGGTAGTAGGCTAATTTGCATGGACAACTTTGCATTAAGGACTGCCTTACTTTTTTAGTAGTTCAATATCGTCACTTTCCATTCATTAGGCTCTCACACTCATTTTTTTAAGGGCATTCCCACAACCCAAGGAGCAAAAGAAAAGAGAATCAAGGCCACAGGATACAAGCATAATGATCAAATGATAGGGGATAATGATGGAAGCCGGGGACGGAGCCGTGTGATGCCGAAGTCTCACATATGGTACAGGTGTGGGTGCAATGCACGACGAATTTGTAAAATGTAGGACACAGCTAAAACATTTGAGCTGAAATCATAATTCAGAGCTAGATACACAAACAACCTTTGAAATCATAGTTTTTAACTAAATATGGGAAAAACGAACCCAGCCCTTATCCAACAAGTTTCAAAAGTGTCTGTAAAGTGTAGGATATGTCCAAGCGTATGGTTTTTTTTTAAATTACTACATGTATTGTGTAATACCCATCTGAATAAATGTATGCATATATTTAATGTGTCCAAGAAGTGTCAGACACCTCTATGAGTATGGGACATGCTAGATATGGGTACGGGTACGGCTTCGTGATAGAAGTACCCGCGCAACATAGTTAATAGGCTTATATTTGGTTAATTTTTTAAATTATTTTATATTTGCTGTATTGGTCAGTTTTCTTATTTTTTATCTTTTAGATGTTATTGTTATCTTTTAGATAAGATGGGAATAGATAGAAATTTTGATCCGGTTAGTTCTCATTAGTTGTTGAGATTTGAATTATTTGACTTTATCTAGTAGTTAGGTAGTTGAGATTTGAGTCCCTTATAAGAGAATTTGACGTAACTAGAATTGGTGTGGTGTTAGTCGATGGAAAATTCATGAACTATTTGATTGAGGGTGTGATTTCTTCTTTCATTATCTTCTTAAGTGCGTGCTTCCCTATTTTACCTTTGTAAGCGTGTGATTCCCTATCTTTATAGTTTATAGTTTATACACTTACATTTTGATTATTCAACTTTCTCTGCTTCCAAATTATTCCTTATNTTCTCTTGATCTGTAGGAGAAGGTGCACAGCTCATGAAGGGTAGCAGGAGAGTTATGTACGCTAAGAAAAGCATGCAAAACAAGGTAAAAATTTGTGAAGGGAACATATATGATTCTTTAAGGTATGAAAAACGATTTCTGGAAATGATTACATGCAATGAGAGGAAATATTAGAAGCACTACCGTACTGAATTGACATGGTAACTTGAGATGGGAACATTCTGCTTAGTTCTTTTTAAACTGATATTTTTTTAAAGACGTCTGAAGGTAATTAAAAAAAATACTCATATGCCCATGAATAGTGATACCTTGTCTACCAGCTTTCCTTTGGATATGCTTAACTTCCCTTAGTCCCATATAGTGAGAGTGTGTGTGCGCACGTGTATGTTTTGCTAGTCATTTGTGTGTGTTTTATTAATTTTTTTATCTTTTTTGCTAGTCATTTCTCTGTGCATGTGCGTGTGCGTGCATGTGTGTGTAGGGGAATATGGATTCAGATTTCTCGCAACTGGATCCAACTGCTTAAAACTTAATAGACGTATCGATCATCTGTACGCAAAAAAGAAAAAAAGAGAAGATATAGAAGCATTAAGTACATAGAAGATGTTCAAGCTAAACTCTAATTCAATAACAGCTGCAACTTGTCACTCGAATGTTCCAATAAGAGGAAATGTCAAAACAAGGAAAAGCATGAAGCTTCAGATCTCCTAACAGCACAAGCAGTAGACTGAGACAGATAACAAATATTACCTCCGGAGCCATCCAATATGGAGTTCCCTTCAATGAAAGAGCACCAGCCACTCCGCTCAACTAATTAGAAATTTCACATCAGTTCAACGCAGGATATATTCACAAAATTTCAAAAAAAGAAAAAAGAGAACGATCTCTTGACTGCAATGAAATTAATTACCTAGTTTTACTAGAATCAACTAACAAGCAGTAACAAAACTCAAAAGTTGCACAGTATAAGATCCCATCCGGCCCAAACCCAAACTTTGGGGATAAGAAAAATTAACCCCCAACTTTTTCCTCAACCTGAAAGTAAAATTATTTGGCTGAGCTCTAATACTTTACTGAGTAGCATGTACAGAAAATCTCACACACAACTAATTGTTTAAGCCTTACTTAACTAAGCCAATAGATGCAGAGCACGCCACAGCCTTAAGCAAATATCTTGGAGATGAGTACTTACTCGAGAGAGAATTTGATAAATAAGAAGACATAATAAAGGTTACACTGATATGTATCAAATCATAAATAGAAACGATGCAAAATCAGGAAGTCTTCTTTGGAAAGAGGCAGTTCTCTCTTTTTCGTATAGGGCCACAAGATGAGATGACGTTACAAACAAGAACAGAAATACTCCTAAAAGCAAATAGCCAATTTTATTATAGGAAAGCATTTTCTGGATCCTAAAAAATCATTCAAGGATTAAGGTTTGTATAAAGTGTGTCTTCATCATTATTTCATTATTTTAGTTCTTTGTCTAAATTTTTAGTTTCACAAATTTTTTGAATTATTTCAAACAGAATTTTATATTATATTAGTTGCATCAGAAAGAATTCCTTCCATGCTTGCATTTCAAAGTGCAAACAGAGAAATTGATTACAATATGCAAGAAATTTGTATTACCTTAGCAAATTTAATTAGGTCGAGTGTAATTAAAACTGGCGCAAAATAAATCTCTTAGATAGAAAAAAAATAATCATCCAGTCTGTAAGGTACAATCTACATAGCATGCAACATTTCTCTGATATATTTAATTAGCTTTATACATTTTTCATATATTTTCTGAGAAGCATACATAACATAAGTTTATTCATTCACGTACAACATTTTTTCTAGTACATAAATTATACGTAACTTTTTTATTCATAACTAGTGTTAGGTCACACTAGTATGCAATACCAAACTGGGCTGACTTTTTAAATAGAGTATATACTATAAGTGAATCAATGAGTACATAATACCAATAGAATCTTACACCAACTAGTAGACCATTGAAACATAACAAAGAAGTAACTCGAGTAGAGAAGCATTGCTGGAAATCGTTGACATAAAAGAGTCAGACTCACATGTTTTGCCATCCCAAAGTCCGCAAGCTTTACAACACCATTAATATCAACAAGCAAATTTGCTCCTTTAATGTCCCTGGCAGAACAAATAGCACACATGGTTGACCTTCGAAGTAAAACTATTGACAAGAACTTGGATTACCACTTTAAGAGAAAAGTTACTCAGAGGAAGGATAAGAATTTACAGTAAGTATGAACAATGTCAGGCTTATGAGACTTGGGGGGAACATTGTATAAACTAAAAAGGCATAATGCACATGACTGAATAATTCACACAACTCATATGAACATAGAAGATAGCAGAATCAACCATGAGACCATTAAACTGCACTAACATTCTCAGTGTGAGGCAAGAATGATGATTTGATGGTAGATAAAAAATGTACTTCAGTGGATCAAGGGCCCTATCTACCAAATTTCTCTCTCTTTATTTTGCTTTGAGATTGGTTCTAGCGTCTGACATATTTAAGACGCACATCTCAAAAATAGCCTTGATTTGTACAACACACCAAAACAAATCTCAAAGAAAATCCAATGGATAAAGAAGTTGGTGGATATAACCCTCAATCCACTTACGTTTATTCTAGTTTTACTGTATATAAGAAATATGATTATCCTTGTATATGATTACATGTCGAATTGGAGCCTCGATGATCACATATTTTTGCCTTTGGTGTTGATACTCAATGGCGGGCGCCGGAGTGGGATATTGTGTGCTCATGTAAAGACTGCACTGAGGCAACAATACTCGACACAGTCAAGATGCTCGGGCGCAGTATCAACACACCGGCTTCACCAAATCGGACGCTTCTGCTCGGCTACTATGGTTCGTCGTCGACTCCACCTCCGGCATCATCATGGTTAAGATCATCGTCCCCAAACCATGGAGAAGCTCAAGTTTTTTAAATATAGCATCTAATTTATAGTCTTGTATGTTATATCTTTTTGTAACCAGTTAGAACTCTGACAGTGAAATATGAACAATGCAACTGTGATATGCCAGCCTCTAAGTTGTGCTACAAGAATGGGGCTTGGAAATGTATCAAATGCCTCAATATGTCATGTACATAATTAGATCATATGTTATTGTTTCTGTTTATATTGCTATGTAAGTATAGAAAAATAGACTTCGAGGAGAATATAGATTTTTACTGAGTTCATGCTAATTTTCATTCAGATGTTTCAAAATACATATGCTAGTTATGGGTGAGTTCATGTCTTCATGCTTGTCAATACTGTATGTCATGGAAAACATGATATTCTATGTCATAGAATACAAGCTTACTGCTTTCTCATTTGTTCTATTTGAATCAGTTTTACTCATTGACATCAAAATTGCTACTGCGTACTACTTCATCTCTTTGAAATAGATATAAGTGACCTCGTGATTACTACTGCGAGTAACGATTTCATAGGTACACAAACTAGGATCAATGAATAAAAGTCAACATGAAATAACAAATATGAATAAAAAAACATACTAAATTTTCTGAGGATGAAGCTTATGTGAGCTACGACAACTATGCAAAGAAGAGAGGATTTGGCATCTGAAAAAGCAATGTTGATAGACTCTAAGAAGAACAAAGAAATAATCATCCGAAAATTATTTGTTTGTAACAAGCAAGGCTATGAACATGTAAATGATAAGAGGTAGTAAAGAAAAGTAACTGTTCCTAGGACTGATACGAGAGTCAATTATAAGACTTGAATGGTGATTTGTAGGAGAGAGAACACATGGATTGTCAAACAATTCAACGACAATCATTCAAAGCATAAAATAAGTAGTCCAGATAAAGTGATGAAGCATCGTTCTCATAGCAATTGCATCAAACAACTCTGGTCGAAAATCTTATGCATAATCTAAACGATCAAAGGTTACAACCTTCTACAATTTCGAAGGTTGTGAATGCAATCAGTGGAGGTTATTCAGAGAAGATTACTTCTCAACAGTGTCATGGTCTCAGAAGCACAAAAAAGAGAAATTTTGGAAGAAAAGCTCATGCAATTATCAAACTTTCCAAAACAAACAAGCCTTGGATCCTGACTCTTATTTTGTTATACAATTAGATGGTGGCCTCACTTTTAGAAGTGATTTTTGGGCTGATGAATGGTCAATTAGATGGTGGCCTCACTTTTAGAAGTGATTTTTGGGCTGATGAATGGTCGAGAGCATGAAATTTAGTAATCTTCTTGTTTTTATGTCACTTATAGAATAAATAATTTAAAACTTCCTTTTAATCCATTTACCGAAGTAAACCATCATCAGCAATCAATATTGTTTAAATGTGCACTACTAGCTGATGAAAAAGAGGAGACTTTTCTATGGCTCTTTAGAGAATGGTTGAGATGTATATCAGGGATAGTACCTACTACAATAATCACAGATCAAGATGGAGCTATATGCAATGTAGTTCAAATTGTTATTTAGAAAGTTATCATCGATTTTACAAATGGCATATTGACAAGCAAGAACTAGTCCATCTTCAAAAGTTGCATCAGGATCATGAGTGTTTGGGAGGATTATAACACATGGAAGAAGACAGTACAATAAAGAAATTCGAGGCGAAATGGAAGAACATGAATGAGAAATATAATTCGGACAATAAAAGTTGGTGTCATGCACCGAACTAATACAAATATTAATGAAAATAATAATAATATCAAGGTGCATGATGGCCGGCCATGTCCTCTTATTAAGAGGACTTGCAAAGCCTAACTCCGATATACTCAACTAACATATGTTACCAGATATGACTTATAAAAACTTTATTTTCTAAATCCAAGCTTACAATATATGAATCACCGTATATAAGTGTTCAACCAACAGTCTGGCTCACATCCTGGAAGCACGATAGGATTTATTTGTCAAGCCACACTCAATTGAAATTTTGTTTATAATTGGGGTGAGCTTTCCACGCGCTTAGTAAGTGGTACATACTCAATAATTTATGTAAATAAAACCACAGTGAAATATGGTCATAATGAGCTTATGATAAATATGCATCATTCTTAAAATAATTTACATGCATAGAAATTAAGCAATGTCACACCCTATCTTGACAACTAGACTATCTCTAGCAGTAATCTGCCTAGAAAAGCTATCTACCGCGGTGCTCTGCCTTTTACGTCATATCTCAACCAGACTGCCTATATCGGTGATCTATCTAGCCTGGAATGCCTACAGCTGCCGAGCTGCGGTATATCTATCATAACACTCAACTCCCTTAGCAGGCCTGTGACATACTTAATTTCTTGGTGTACATCATTAGCCAATGTACAATGCAATATTTGCATCAATATGATTCAAATATCATTTGGTAAAACTTGCTTGTCATGTATAGCCGACAACAGCAAAATCAAATATTCATACATGATTAATTCAACAAGTATTATTGGAATAAAAACATTAAGTGATTCGAAGCAAATATTAGAGAAAAACTATAGTTCCTATCATTCATCGGAACTGTTTTAAGGTCTACTGTGATAATCGACCAATGTGCGCAAAAACACCATCTAACTGTATTATATTTATTATAAAAAATGAGAAAATGTGTCATTTAATTATTCATATGCATGTACCTCAAATTTATATTTCAATGCAAATAAAACAATGTAATTTTTTAGTATTTGAAATAATCTAACTTAACTATTCATGTACTATCTGCTTGTAACTGTGCATACTCACATAAAAATTGTAAGAACTTATGACATTTAGAAGCACGTAATGGTAGATATAGTTAGGAAACTAATAAACACTATGAATCACACATTATGTCATTAGGAGAAAAAGAGTTATCGATGCATATCACCAGCTAGAGTATTAAACAAGGTTTTAGATATCGGTTATCGGAGATTTATCAGACAGTCAAAATGCATATCGGATAGCGGATATCGAGGATATATCGGAGTGACATTACCGGATGGTGATATACATAATATAATATTCTAAAATGTAATCTAACCATACTTAATAAAATATAAACATGCCAAAATGTAAATAATTATGTTTAGGATCACTAACCAACGGTAGAAACTCGGGACGGGTCGGGTTTAAAGTGCATTGAATAGGTGCCCGTTGTCCGAAACCAAAACTCAAACCAAAGGCCAATAATTTCGATTTTTGGACCGACAATATCGGTTGATAACTCACTTTATCGCTGCATTATCGGCGATAAACATCCGAAAATGATAACTAATTTAGAATCGAACTTATCATAGCGGAAGGCCCCCAAAACCGATAAATTATCGATAATATCAGTTTATCGGTCGATATTAAAAACATAAAACAGTCAAACAGGAACACAAGTCATCGACCAAGTGAATGTGAGAAGGCACGTATGTTCCATGCCATTTATCCAAATTTCTACGAGTATGGCTACATGCAACTCACGTACACTATACTAGTGTGTATGTGTGTGTGCGCGCACACACCAAACACCAAGTTTGGTGCTTGGTAGTGAGGTGGTGGAATCTCAACCATAGGTGCGAGTGAGATTAGCTGGATGGCAAATACATACTCATCTTACACGTACTCTTTGTATTCTACAACCTTAAATGTGTGTGTGTGTGTGTGTGTGTGTGTGTGTGTGTGTGAGAGAGAGAGAGAGAGAGTGTGTGTGTGTGTGTGTGCGTGTTTATAAGAAGGGAGAGCACATAAAAGCATCGTACAATAGACATATGGAAGATTAGCTTTCTGTTCATTGTCTAAATATAAGGATGAAGCTGATTCCAACTTCAATAGAAATGAGAACCTGTGGATTTTTTTGGAACCGTGCAAATAAGCCAGCCCCCTGAGGATATGCCGAGTGAAATTACGAACCACTGATTCTGTCATAGCTCCACAATGGTCACGAACATATTTATCGATCGAGCCAGGGAAAACATACTCTAGATATATGAAAAATCGATCCTCAGTCTGCATACAAAAATGATCTGCAGTTGAGCAACTTTAATTTAATCTGCAAAATCGAAATACATACAATTTGTGTGACTGCTCACCATTTCGCTCCCATAATACTGCACGATATTTGGGTGCTTTAATTGACTAAGGACTTCTATTTCCTGACAGAGAAATAGGGAAATTGACAGTATTAGAGTACATAGACTGACTATAGAAGATTACATAATAAATAGGTCAAAAAAAATTAATATCTCCCGGAACAATTACATGAGTGTAGAAGTAACTAAAGCTTGAAAATAAGTCACATATGTTAACATAAACTAGTACAAGTAAAAGGTTCAGAGGAAGATATATTTATTATAATCGAAGTAGAATATAATGAACAAATCCAAATGCGATCAACAATCTCATCAGAGAAAGAGAACACATGATAAATATTTATAATACAAGATGGAACCAACAGATTTTGTGAAGAACACACGAGTGAACAAATTACAATGTCAAAGAATTTCTGGTTATCCTTTTCATTTCTTAAAACCCAAAATTAAGCTGACTCCTCTCAGTCACAACGAGGGTTGGTTTTGTAAGCTACAAATAAATCAGCTGCTGCATGATAATGGTAAAGTCAAGCATATCCGTGGTCCGTTTGATGAACGATGTTCACTCAACAAACGAAAATCCTTGTGTTGCTATAGCCAAAGTGTCCAATTGGAAGCTAACATGAGTTAATGCAAATAAATAGCTCTTACGATTTCCTTCATCATGTGGGTTGCAACCGAACAGCCATTGTTCCATGTATAAGCTACAGGTAGCTAACAAATATACATATCCATAACTTCAGCTATAGCAACATGAATTTTCATGTAGATACAGTGGGAATGTTGCCTGAATAGCAAGAGCGCGTGATGTGAGCTACTTGTGTCTGCAATACTAATTGAATAGCTTACCAAACATGTGCTAAGATTAAGGTAAACTTTATGTCTTGGATATAAGTTACATGGTCATCTATCATAATAAAATAAGCATCTCACGTTCACAAAAATATAAAAGAAGAAAACCAATTGCCAGAAGAATGTCAGAAAAGTCTGGAAAACAAACCTGCTCCAACTGTTTCAAACATTCAGCAGATTTTGGATCATCAGGAATTATATTTACTTCTTTCATGGCACATAAAGCTCCAGTATGTCTGTGGAACAACATCATGCTTGTGACCAAATTACCAACCGCCGAAAAATCACCAAATGGTTAAACAGGAAATCACCTACCTGTTCGTTGCCACATAGACATTTCCAAATGTACCACTTCCAATGAGTTTTTGCTTTTGCCATGGAGATGGCTCTGGTTTTGCTGTATTAGGATGAGTAAAAGGGGACTGCGATGGAACTGCAGCTCCTGGTGGTAGAGGCAATGGGTGGACATTTGCATTGCCATTATCTTCATGCCATGAAACTGAGTTTTCAGGGTACTTGGGATGCACTGGTGATGAAGGTGCGCTAGGATTTCGTGATCTTACAACAGGACTTTTTGAAGTGGGACTATACATTGACGGGCAGTCAGGACTAACTTTCCCAGGTGACTGAGTAGAGGAACCTGGCATCGTATCGTCTGAAACTATGTCTGAAGGTGACAAGAGACCCTGAGGGAAATTGTAAGTATGGTCGTTCTCTATATTACTTCTTCGTGGACTAAGTACTGGACTTGAAAATCTTGTGGACGGAGCACTTTTAGCAGGTATGTTCAGCCTGAAGTTTACAGTTTCAACAGAATTTGGATCATGCAGAGCCTTCCTATAATCACTAAACATTGATTTGCCTGCTGGTGCATCAACATGCTCTGGACTTTTTAGAGCAGCCTGATAAGTTAACCTACTGCACTAGAAAATGGAACTGTCATAAAACTCCAAGTATTGCACAACCACAACCAGACAAAATAGACCACAAGAAATGCTCACACTTGTTAGGACAAAACTCCAAAAGGAATTTGAACATGTTGGCTAGCATCATGTTGTGTAACAATTGAATCAACCTATAAATTGTTCTATAATGGCCTTACGAACATAAAAGATCGTATGGAATATAAGATTTCTGAAGTATTACCAGAATCAGCATAAATTCCTAATGATCCACCAGATTTCTTATTTACCTTACCAAGAAAGTCACTAGGAAATAATGCTTATGCACCTTGAGACAGAAGTTACAACTCAATATTTTCTTGCATTACTTATTCAAACTCAAAAGATGCAGTTATTCTAGCAATGTGTTGATTTTCAAAAAATAAGTTCATTGATAAGCTTCTTTTTGACCTCTCAAAAAAGCTCAACTAAGAATCAATGAATTTAAACCTTAAAAAACAAAACAAATAAAATAAATCGACGACAAAATTGACATGGCTACTTTTCTTTACTGTACAAGCAGAAACGCACACTCAAGTAAAAAAAGAAAAACTATTTTATTCACCTGGGTCTAGATTGTGAAAGGGGGGACTCTAGCCACGGGGTTTACTCGGCTGGAATTAAAGCCAAGGTTCCTCGCACCAAAAAATGAAAAAAAAAGAAAGAAAAACTAGTTTGAATAACTATTGTCTATGAGGTGGTCTGAACATACAAAGATTAGAATATCGTAGAGTTATGATATAAACAGTGTTTTAAAGGTGAGGTTAAGGTGATAGGATCCTATCAATGTTGGCAAGAGACGCTAGAAAAGGGGATCACTTGAGTGAACTAAACGATAGATTACAAAAATTCATAAACATGACAAATAATATACAAAAAAACACAATATCAATAAATGTTTGAAAGGAGTATTACTATTCCTCGTGTGTTTTTTTTTGTACACGGGAATGGGCATTACAAATTAAATCCTCGTGTTTTTAATTTGTAATGCTTATGAATCCTCGTGTTTTTTTGTACAATATCAAACATACAGAGTTTTTAGTCTCTCTTGTATACTCCTTTTAACTAGCAGAATACCTGAATCCCTTACGCCTCATTTGGTGCACGGGAATGTGCGGGAATGGAATGCACATTCCCACTACTCATTCATGTTTACCAAACACGAGGTCCTTTTGAAATCTAGAATGTTCATTCTCACTTCTCATTTATTCCCACATTTTGTGGGAATGAGCATTCCCAGTGAGATGGTAGGGAATGAGCATTGCCACTTAAGTGGAATTCAAAAATTAAAATAACTTTCAAATATGCATGATTGCTTATTAATTAGCTAATACCAAAAATAAAAAGGTTATAATTCTCACTTCATTCTCTTATCCAAACCAAATTTGCGGATAAGAATGAGCATTCTATTCCCACCCTAATTCCATTCAATTCCTTCATCCCATTCTCACTTGACTTGGTTCCTGTGTGCTAAATGAGGCGTTAAGTTCTTAATGGGTACATGAACATCTGGTTGCTATATATTAGACTGTTAGTTATCACTTAATTTATACTAACATAATCAAGCCACTCTTTGTACAAAAATAAATGTGCGATTGTAAGCTCACATGTTTAACTTAGTCTTAAGAAGCATGATGAATCCTATAACCATCACTAAGATATAGCTTTATTTTTTATCACCCCCATTAAGAAGACATACATATACAAGCTTCTACCTTTATTAACAAATTGTTGAGAAATTAATACCAAATCATTACAAGGAGTTTGAAGGTCACCTTGGAACCAGAGGCCTGAATGAAGTTTGAAAGTCGCTATGGAAAGTGGAGAATTAATTATGAAATCTAAGTGCCTAACTCCACGCTATAAAAGGAGAGGAGGGTGTTTGTCATTTGAGGAGTCATCCAAGAAGTGTCTTGGGTTCACATATTTCCTCTACAATTGTTCTTCTCTACCAAAGATTATATAATTATATCCACTGGTGGTTGGGGTTGTCAAACATATTGCAGGTGGTCTAATAGAAGAAGGATTTGACTCCACATATTGTACAGGGTGTGAGTGAGAGAACTCTCTTGTATTGTATACCGTTATTCTCGATAGTGGAAGTTTTCTTATTGTGTTGCCTTTGAACGTAGGCTTAGGCAGAACCACGTAAATCTTGGTGTCTCTCCATTTTTTTTTATTGTCAAATTTTGGAGGTTGGGTTGATTTCGACCCAACATAAACAAACTCCTCTCAAGGATAGAATCTCTTGTCACCAGAAACAGCACTTTGACAATAGCAGTAAAAATCTACACTTTTCTTGCATCAACCACCTAGAAAGCCACATAAATAAAGTTCTCTTAAATGATAACAGAATATCTTATCATGCTATGAACACATATCCATTTCTTACTAAATTTGCTAGACTTTATTTCATAATTTTTGCGAAAAATAACAAAGCTTAACTTTTAACAAAAACAGCTTAATTGAACTCTCATACCATGCAACTGAATCTGACGACCAACACCCTTCATCCCCTCCGCTCCCCTCCCTTGGCGACGGCAGCCTACATCCCCCGGACAAAAACCGAAGCTCCCTCCGATTCGGCGACTGCGGCGAGTTCCCAGGCAATGGCAGCGGCTGGGGCAGCAGCACAGGCGACGAGGATGACCTCAGAGGGGTTACATCAAGATTGGTCGGCGATGTCGTGACCGGGAACGACGCAGAGCTGGCGCCGGCGACGTCAATGTTGGTGAGGTGGCGGAGCTTACGCTGGCGAGTGAGGCGAGGCTGAGCGGAGGAATCTCCGCTGCCCCGGCGGCTGAAGATGGCGGGAGATTCATTGCGATTACGGCGAGGGGAGGAGGAGGAGGAGGGGGAATTGGTGCTCTTCCACCAAGGCATAATAGCGAGCAGAATGGAGGATCATGGTACAAACGAGAAGAGAAATCGAGCGAAAAAGATCACATTTTTAAGGGGATCGAGATTGAAAACCCTAACCCTAACAAGGGGAAGGAGATGGACATCGGAGGGGGTTAAATGTAAAGAGGGGAATTACGCGGAAAGAAGCGGAGGAAGGAGTCCGCTGCTCTGCTACGCGCGCGAGGTCAAACTCTTTAAATCCCCCTCAAAAAAAAAATTTTTTTTTAATTGTTTTCTTATACTCTCTTTTCTTTATTTGTTTTTGTTCGCCTTTCCTTCTCGCCCTCACCGGATACCGCTTCCGACAACTTAATATAGGGTATGTTTTTAGATTAGTCCTTGTAAGAATGGGTTATTGCAAATGCCATGTGCTGTACTGATACTGCAAAAACAACGCCTTTTTTTCCCCATCACTTCGAGAACGGTAATAGGTTGGTGATGACATTAATTAATGATAACATACAAAATTTCTTGTTATTCATCCATAATTATCATGTGTTTAATAGTTTAAAACCTAATATTACTCATTATTATCAAGTAATAATGCATGCAACAAAGCAAAGAGGTACGTTGATGTTATGCTACGGGTGTGGTGATACTAATTAAGGACTAATTATATCCCGCTATACTGAAACATGGTATAATTACACTGATCTTGGAGATTACGTACCTACATGAATAATTTGAGATTACACGGGTGATCTTGGAGTTTAGCGGACAAACAACTCCTGAGGTTGCAAATACAAGCAACACTTTCATGATGGCTTAAGGTATTTTAATTCCACCCCATTTACCAAGAATGTATTTTAATTAGGCAAACCTGTTTTAAGGCATTTTAATTGTTCAACTTACCAACAAGACCATTTTTCTCGTCGGTGACCAGTTTTCCGGCGAGAACTCGTCACGTGCGTGGCACATGATGACTTCAACTGTTTTTTAGCTGCTGATGTGGCACAAATTTTCTGACATGGATAAAACAGTTGGGAGAATAAAAGAAGGGATTCAAGCTGCGATTAGGTGAGATTGGAAACTAGGGTTATCACTCTCTATCTCCGAAAATCGTCGTCGTCCTCCGAAAAGAGAGGATTTTAATTGATTCAAACCTTCGCATCGGCTTCAACCTGTACCAAGTCGTCGTCCTTCGAAAATCACCTTCTGCATCAACTGAGGAACACCATCACATGGAATCCTTGCAATCTATCTCCTTCAACTGCCTCCTCCGCGATTTCTCACTCTCTATTTCTCCCTCTCTCTCTCATGTTCAAATTCTGAAAATAAAAGGAGCGAATCTGTCCTATTTTGGGTGAATTAGGATTTTTAGAAGGTTAATTCCCGTCTTTAAACACTGGCACGTCAGAAAATTCGTGTGACATCAGCAACTAAAAAACAGTTTAAGTCATCACGTGCCACGCACGTGACGAGCTCTCGCCGGAAAACTATCGCCGACAAGAAAAAGGGCCTTGTTGTTAAGTTGAATCAATTAAAATACCTTAAAGCAGGTTTGCCTAATTAAAATACCTTATTGGTAAATGGAGTAGAATTAAAATACCAATATGGGTATTTAGCCTTTTCATGATCATCCGCATTGATACGCAAACTGTAAAATCAGCCACGCAATTACACCATGATGATTGAAAACCACATTTGGTACAACAATGTAGGAAACGATTTAATTGTTATCATTGAAGTTGAATCACATTGGTACTAGTCCAGTCTTTGTAGATTCAAAGAACAACCCTTAATAGATTTCGGATTTATTATTTCCACGCTGCGTTACCTACTCACCTAAAGTCATCCACCATATTTAAACTGAGGAATAGAAATAAAAAAGATAGGAAAGAAATTTCCTTCTATTTTCTCTCTTATAATCACCCCAATGAAATCCAAACATGACAATAAATATTTTATTAAATAATGAAGTGCTATGTTTTGAGAAAATAATAATAATAATATGATTGAGAAAATAGACTATCTGTGTTTTCAAACAGTAATTAAAAATTCCAAGCCACTAGCAAAATTGTGTGAATTAAACTTAGATCTCTTGGAAACTACCCTTCTACTTTGACCTACCATGAGCTCTGAAGTTATTTTATTTTCTTAATTCCTCAAGTCAAACACAAGTTATTGATAAGAAAAATTCTTTAAGGGGGTGTTAGTCAATTGGGACATTTTCATGCAAAATGGGATAATTATTATAGTGGAATAATTTTTGCTAGTGGGATATTTTAGTGGGATAAATAGGAACAATTTTGTGAAACGGGATATTTTGATAAAATAACGTGGGATAAATTTTTATAATCATAAAATATATATTTATGCATTTTGAATATATAAATACTATTTATGTGCTTTAAACTTACTATTATTAATTGATAATTGCTTACAAGAATGTTCATTACTATTAATTAAATAACTTTTAGTTAGACTATAAGATATTGACAATTATTATTATAATAACGATCTAATGATGGTGATAACCATAGTAGAAAGAAGTAAAGAAAAAAATAAATATAAAAAATAACAAAATAAATATGAGTTCTAGTTTTTTACCACCTAGTTCCAAGCTAAAACTTGGAACAATTTGAGAGACTAGAACTTTCTTTTTTGTATAGAAAAATAAAAAAGTGGGATAATTTTGTATCATTATCCCAATTCTAGTTTTGTTAAAGTTCTACTTGACTAACACTGTACAATTTTATTCTAGTTTTAGTTCTATGTGACTAACACCTTAAAAATTTATCTCACAGATTATCCCAGTTCTAATTTTAAGTTCTAGGTGCCTAATCCCCCCTAAGGACCCAAAATATGGCACCAATATGGGGGACACCTCACTTGTCCCCTTTATTGGTCCCATATTTTGGGTCCCTATAGCAAAGCTCTATTGATAATAACAAGTTTAGTTATTAAATTCCTAATTATTTGCAACTAATAAATGACAAAAGCATTCTTTAATGTAAGTCCACTTTCGCGACTTTATATGGACTGACATATTTTCTTATGCGTGCTTAAAGATTAGGTAAGGCATTGGGCACTCTTGGAGTACATCATATCATATAGTACTTCATTTTGGAGAGAGAAAATAATAACGTTTATTTCTGTTCTTTTCAGTAGTGTCACATTAATGAAGATTTGATTATCTATAATCAAAATAAAAAAGTGTAGAAACTGAGATGGATAAATTAAAGTATTTCTTAGATTTAGGAATGAATCATAACTAAATAAATTTTGATAAATAATTATAATTGAAAAAGGGAATTCTCTTTCTTTCTTTCTTTTTTTTTCAAGTAAAGAGTATCTAAATATTAAATTCAATGGACATTTTAACCACTTTCATGTAGAAGTAACAATTAAAAAGGTGAAGGCGAGAATAAGAGATTTATCTTTGGATCCAGATGTTGGGGATTTTAAGGAGATTAATATGCGGAACTAAACACTAAGCGAATAACGACACCAATGAAAAATATCACAATCAAGCAAACACCAAGATTTAACGTAGTTCGGCAAATCGTGCCTACGTCCACGGGACGATCCAGAGAGAAATATTTCACTATGAATCAAGAGTACAGTCCCTCCAAGTTACACATGAACCTGAGAATTAAATCACAAGAGAAAGATACAGTGTTACCTCTAGGACACCAAAACCCTAAAACCCGTCTCACCAAAAATCTCCAACTTCCATGAAGAAACCAGCACCGTACCCTCGACGGCGTCGTCATTTTGAAGACAACAGTTTTTGAATCACTGCAATCGGACAACCGAGCGATCTAGAATCTGAACTTTTCTCTCTCTTCTTCTCTCTCTCCTCCTGGGTACGGTAGCAACCATTGTTATCGGGTTACTGTAGATGTTCACCAGAAAATTGTTTATATAAAAATTGATCGCAGGGCTCTCTTATATAGAATTCTCCAAACCTATTCCTATTGTTGTGCGCAGCGGAAATTTCGGCAGCACCTCCGGTGCGCAAGGTGCACAACAAGAGATTAGATCGTAAGAATTCCTGTTTCACCAAGGAAACAAGAATCTGAAGCGGATATCTCAACAAAGTGAGATATCGGCTCTTCCTCTCATCAGTTCTAGGACTGACCTGTCGAGGAATCCTACAAGCTATTACAAATCACGACAAGAACACAACTTTTACATGGTTCGGCAAATAGCCTACGTCCACGGGGCAAGGAGGGGGAGATCTACTATTAGAGGGAGAGATACAATTGGGGTTTACAATCTCACAAATAAAACGCCGCTGCCAAATCCCTGCCTTGCTCTAACCTCCTGCAGCCGCAAAGTTCCCAAGACCAAAAGCTCCTTGTACCAAAAAACCTAGGCTAAAAAAATATCAGCCTATTTATAGCCTGGCGCCCACGAACCCACAACGCGTCCCACGAACGCGTTTTAAACCAACGCGTACAACCAACGCGTTTTCTCAAAAAACTTCACGAACCCACGTGAGTTCGTGGGTGGCCCCCACAAAAGCAAAACAACCCATTTTTGGGTTTTCCCCAACATGTTCACACCTATTTCAAATAGATCATCAAAATCCTCTTCTAAATAGAGTTCTAACCCATGTAAACTTCTTATAGATAGAATTCTAATTCATATAGACCTCCTCATATGGGCCTTATCTTGAGCTGGACCCACAACACCAGAGCAAGTCTATAAAATAGTAATCATCTTTGGTTATATATAAAAGAGGTCATATTTGTCTTTGGATCCAGGGCTAGGATGTATGGATTTAGAGCGTAACTAGAAATTTATACTTTTTTATAAAAATATATGTTAAATCATTAATAACTTTCTTAGAATTATTTATCTATACATCTCATGGTCTAAGAATGAATGATATGCAATGGTCACGAAACCGGTTGTTTTGAAATACTTGAATTCTCAGATTAAAAAAAATCTCAAACAAAATGATTGTGATCCTCCTAGCTTTGATTATTTTAGAAGAACTTGAATTATACATATGCTAAAATGTATTTTCATATGAAGTTGTAAGTTTATAAAGAAAGATAAAACTAAAATAACAGTTAAAGTCCATACAGAATTAATGAACAAGTCTTTTCAATTTGGATACCAAAAAAATTCCTAAAAAAAACTTAATCTGAGAACGTTAGAAAATAAATCAATTCAGTTTCGTCCTAAATAAGTCTTGGAGGGATAAATGCAACAAACCGGCACGTTAGAGGGATAAATGCAATTTACGCTCTGTACATTCCCAGGTTTGAGAGAGCCAGATGGAGACAAAACTCCTTATTATGGATGCTAAGAAACAAAATATTAATTTAAACTTAGCAGTAATTAAATGTTTTACTTATTCTTTGCCCTTTCAGTTATTATATAGAACGCATGTCAACGGTTTATTCAGTGATCGAGTAAGTTTCCTCTTATATAGTTTAATATGTTCCATAAACTTTTATTTTTTTACCCAATTCAGAATGAACTCAAAACCGTAGGAGCCATATTTTTTTATGTCGAAAATGCTTACGTGATAATAATTAAACAATAATCATCTTTTTTTTTATTACCCACAACACAGTTTCATCACTGTAGGTTTGTTTGAAAACTGAGTATATAAAATAAATTGACGACGAGATGCTTGCATAAGCCTTGATTACTTTATGATGACTTATTTACGTTACGCGTGGGGATAAACTTAGATTGGACTTCGTTCACATTTTAATAACGATTAAAATGCACTAGATTTACGCTTAATTAAGCTACTACATAAGCTACATGTATCGAGTCAATTCACTAGCCCTGAGAGAGGAAAGGAAGGAATCAGACTGCCTCCGCATTATTAAACCCTGACTAGGTCTCCTCACAATTTTATATTTACTTATTAAAAAAATAAAGTAAAATGTGTCTTTATAATTGGTAAGTGGATGGGATGGGAGCTGATTAAGTCAAAGGCTCCGTTGTCCGTTGTTTGACTTTGGTTAATTGAGTTCCCAAGTATTTGTTTGTTGCATAATGTAATACGTTAGCTTGATTATATATTAGGAGAAGGGAATAGAGGATGGAGGAGAATGTACGAGGTTGTATTTGAAAACTTTGTATTACTGCATGTAATCCTTTCTTTTTTTTTAAGAAAAATGTTATTGCACGTTATTTAAATATATCAAGTTTAAGGTCATGGAAAACAGAGGTTAGAGGGATTAAGTAGGCAATTACATCTATAAATTTAATTACTGTACCGTACGATCACTGGAATGGATGAGAGCTTACGAATCAAATTTACTACACTAATCTGTACTTATATATATTCCAATAAAGCAAAAAAATACTTGATTGCATGTCATTTCCACTCTGCAAATTCTAAGGGCTCTAATAATTGATAACTGATAATCCTTTTTATCAACCATGTCATCTTAATCCACTGCGCTCTACATCTCGGAAATCTCTATGTTTAATCTTTCATTCTTTCTAAAAAAAATTCTAATACAGCTACAACAATATTAATTTAAACCCCTTGCATCGCACGGGCAACAACTAGTATGATTTATGAAATAACCCATATGGGATTAAATGGAGAAATTCAATTAACTAGGTAAAGCAAGTTGGCCTGTAGCACTACAAATCAAAATCAACTCCTCTTAGAACACGAACACAACCTTGGCAGAATCCTGACAATCTCTAAAGATTTTATCATTAATAAGTGAACTACAACATTTTGCTTCATTTCTAAATGTAAGCGTCAATAATAGCTTGCACAATGAATATGCTCCTTCTAGACCCTGAAAGTGCCCTTTTTTCTTCAGCAGAGGCTCTAGCTTGAAATTAACAGTAATGCGCAAAGTTGAACTGGAGACTTTTTGCAAGTCTTTGATGTTCAATTGGCTTCAGTAGTTGTTTCCTTGGTTTCTGGCTCTGGAGGCTTTGTGGCCAAGATTTTACAGATTGGAATCGCATTGTTCTTGCTTAAAAGCTTCAAAGATTCGTGAACCTTGACATCTTGTAAAAGAACTCGATCATCAATATCTAGATTTGTCAAATCTATTTCGATCTTCTGTGGGATGTGTTCAGTTGGGCATAGGTATTTCAGAGTGGTCCTTATCTTTTGCAGATAACCCCCTGCTTTCAAACAAAAAGGAAAGATATCAGTCTGAGCTTGAAAAATGAGAGCATGAAAAAAGAAAATGCCTGAAACTAACAATAACTATCATGGCTATAATCAGGGTAACAGAACAAACAATGACTTCTTTCAAATAGTCTTTCAAATAGTCTTGCCACATTCTTGCTCTCATGCTTCCATCCTTTTAAGTTTGCATTTTCAATGTCCCGCAGACTGTTTTACTTGTTTGCACTCATTATATTCCCGCTATATACTCTGGTTTTCCAAAATTTTAACGTGCATCATGCCCCTAAATTCATAATAAATTCCTTGTGGTTTGACAATCAGAAATGGCATATAAGCAACAGTTTATCATACTTAGAAATTTCTGTTGGATAAAGGTAGCACCATATGATTCCCCTTTTTGTAAGAGCCTTATCAACAGCACTACTGTTGAGTTTAATTTCTATGCAGGCCACATTGACCCATGGACATGGATGTCGCCGCATTGACATAGCCCTCTTACAGGTTGTGGGATGTTAACAGCATGTGATGTCTGATACCAATGCATTTTTATGTCCATCGCCAAAATATTTGCATCAGCTCTAATGCAGAAACCTACGAGACCCTCTACAAAACAAACTGATCAGAAAAAGATGTTGACAACTTCAATTCCGATAAACATTGACACATGCACCTGAAACTTCTGTTTATAATCAAGCTGGTTATAACAGAACAGATGGAAGGTTTACAAGCAATATGCCTAAAACAACCAACTCAAAATCTAGGAAGCGTTGACACCTCCCACTTCCGTCAGAAAAGATAAGTTTAAGTACTTCTAGATAATGTAAACTGCTGCTAAACAGATTCAGCCCTTGGTCGCAGAAAGAACATATATTTGAAGGGCATTACCCAGCAGCTAATCTATTTGAAAACTCAATGAGAAAATTATTGTCATGGTCTTCTGATGCGTATCAGCAAAGTAATACATTAATGGAGAGGAAAAAATAAGTATGAGGTGGAAGCTCTACCAAGTACCAATAGGAGTCATTAACACTTAATAGTCACATTAGAGTAGGTGAGGCTTACAAATTCGTCTCTTGACAACTCATTTCGCTAAAGGAGATGGCAGCTCAAACCCAATATCCCTATAGGGTATCGGTAGTTATTAGTCTTTGAGAAATGCCTTACATCAATCTAAAAGACACTAAGAATTTCAAAACCTTGTTTCAGTATTCAAAGGATGCCCTGACACGCGCATAAGGTGCATAAGACGATCTGACACCAATAACATTGTATGCAATATCCTTTCTGTACCAGAAAAGAAAAAGGAAAAAAGAGAAAAAAAAATGGCCAATACAAATAAAATCTGTCATACTTCGTGAAAATCTGACAATTACCAACATCCTTAATGTTCACTCCTACATGACAAGTGAAATCCTTTCAGAGTTTTAAGAGGACTCCATAAGATGAATGCTCTGCTTCTTTGTGCATGACATATCCTCCAGTAATTTGTTTTCCATTGAACATATCACATCAGCAAACATATTGGAAAGACAGTTTGTGTTGTTGCGAAAAACTATGCAAATAACCACTTCATTAAATGAGGAATGCACTTCAGTTACACAGACAAACCGCATAATTGGAACAAAGTGAGTCCTGTCATATACCTCATTAAACGAACCACAGGATTTTTCCTTTTTCTAAACAATGAGAACCCAAGCCACTTGGACCTATTGAGTATTGATTCGAGAAACCACCCCCTTAAAATAGTTTACCCGATCAGCCCCCCACCCTCATTACTCAATTAACTAACAATCACACATTTTCTCGTTTATCAAAGAAGCCAACCCTTACCCACTAGCCAGTTAGACCTATTGATTCGGAAAAGCAAACCCTTAAAAGTCTTCACCCAATCTCTAAACTAATATCCCATCAGTAACCACTTCCAGCCACCTTCCTCACACGATTCACGAAAAATTACACATGACAAATTAAAACCCATTACACATGACAAATTAAAACCTAATCCAATTTAACCCATCAAATCAAAACCAATCCCTAAAAATCTTTTACCCAGTCCTTAAAGTAGAATCCCTCCATCCCTCCTACATTTCCTCCATTTCTACATTCCACTTACTCCAATGGGTTTCAAAGATCCAATGGAAGCTTTTTTTAATCAATTCTGGATAAATACGGATTATATCATTATAATTCAAAAAGTGGCCCAATTTATTGACCTCCTTTTGCTACCAGAAGGATTTCTCTTAGCCACAAAACTACCTTTTTGGATACACTAATGTCTGTGATATAGAGTTAATATATCATATGCACTAGTGTTTATGATTTATAATCCTTAGTATTCATTGAAAAGAAAGTAGATGCAGCCCAAAGGGTTCTCCTTCTAAATAATATCCAAGGAATTCTTGTCAGAGACTCTGAACCATGCAAACAAGGCCTTAATGAGGTGGTAAAGACTTCATCTTGTAATAGTCATACAAATAGAGAAACCAACTATGGAAGATATTCTAGATTGACAGCCAACCCCTGTTTGTCAAGTAAATAAATAAAAAATAGATAAAAGATGAAGCATTACATCTTCTACCCCCATATGGTTATATAATTATAATGTGGTCCAGACACTATTCAAGTATTACCAAAGGCAAGCAGACTAATCAGGCATGACAATCATGTTGAAACATGTGGGCGAATCAGTTCAGGATTTGAATTAATAAAGATTTTAGGAAAGCAAGAAATGAAATAGAAAAAAAAGAGAAATCTCCTTACAAAGGAAAATATGAAAAGGAAGGGAAAGGTAAAATGTCACCCCTTCATCGACTTACCATGGTAGAAAGAAAGAGAAAAGGAAACTGTTAACCCTTCATTGATTTATCATAGCAGATCCCAAAAAAAAAATCACATAATATATCAGTCGTTGACACATTTTGATTGTCTGAAAAATGACGCTATCAACAAAAGAAGGATGCAGCTTCATTACTTTTTTTTATTCGAGCTACAGAGCAAATACATAAACTTATTCTAAATGAGTAGTGTCCTTGCCTATCAAAGTCACATGACCAATTTCTAGAAGAGCATGCATGAAGCTTTAGTAGCTGTTTCCATCTACTTCTATTTCTTTGGCTACACAAAAAGATGAGCGCAATTGTACATATACAGGAAAACATATAACATCAACAAATCATGTGCCCCTATCCATATCGTAATGAAGTTCCATGTCTGGAAGACAACAATATATATGTCATGAGTGACTGACGCACAAACCATTCATAAGGACGAATAAAGCTGAATCCCTACATCTCCCAGTTTAGTTTAAATAAACTCTATCCTACAATCCTACTGTTACTAAAAGTAACGTGTGAAGACAAAGCAAACATGAGCCTGTTCAAAATTGCACCATATAGCTACAAGCCTGCCTACTACAAGTCTACAACTCATAACCTTCAAATACTGTACAGTGAATCAAATATCATAAGCTCCAAAACCAATAGGAATACGCATCATAAGCAGAGAGTTGATGTACATATCAGTACCTATAAAGGCTGATATCAATGTTGGACCATAAGCTCCCAAATAAAAAGGAATACACACCATAAGCAGATAGTGAATGTACATAGCAGTTTAACTATAAAAGCTAATATCAACATAGTCCAATGAACTTTTAAATAAAAAGATTTATAAGAGAGGACCAGATATATGCAAATAAGGGAGATAACACAGTGAAACTACAACACCTAGATTATCCTTGGTTCACTACCACACTTTAGCATCTCTATCAATGTCTTACTCCTTATAGTGAAAATAGAAAGTTTAAAATTGAACTTCAAGATTTCATAATGCGAGATAAAAGCATTTGAAAGAAGTTAAGAGGTCATTCCTACTAAAGATAAAATGAGGAAGGAATCAGTTGAGATAGTTTTGACTTATGTGGGACAAAGGACCATAAGTGCACCTGTTACATAAGTGACAGTATTACAATTAACTGGGAATGAAGCCACCGACGTAGGCCTACTCAAATTGGAGTCAACTAAGATCAATATGATAGTGCTTAATTCAAATGACATGGGTTTTGATGAAACATAGAAGAATTCATGTAATCCACCCAAAAATGGCGCGAAGGATTTTTTTATTTTTTTTTGTATAATGTCATTAGAATACGAAGCCCAAATCTCAACTTATAAGTCAATTCCTTGCATTTCCTATAATTAGCAAAAAGGAGTGTTGAATGACATCAAATATTAATACAAATGAGTTTAAAATTGAATTTTAACCCCCCAGTTTCCTTAATTATGATCTTCCAAAGGTTAAGCTATTTAACTTTACAACACCAAACCGAAATACATTTGATACAATTTACTACTTAATACACTGCATTATCTAACTTCAATGGTGAGTTAGGTAGACCTGTATGGACCCCAACTACGGATAGCATCTTTAGCCGCTGGTCAACGTAGGATCAAGGTTATCGATAGCGGATAGCGTCACGTAGCGGTGAGGCATTGCTAAAGCTATTTCGGGCTATTGCGGCAAAATAGCGGTAAAAAACGCAAAGTCAATAACGGTCTAATTTAGATATGTATAAATACTAAAAAAAAAAAAATCTAAAAGTACATAATTGATGATTTAAAGAGATCCTAAACATGAAATAGACATGTAACCATCACGTAATACTGAAGATGACTGGAGGAGTCAAAAAGTCATCGTCTTCAAAAAGAAGAGCTTAGCGGTGACAGGACTGTCCTAAGAGGAGCTCACGATGAAGGAGGTGAGATGAAGTATCAAGGTAGGTGTCAGAAGCTATGAGAGGTGACGGGAGTATGCTGAAAATCATAAGAGACGATGGAATGCAATGGTCAAGGGTTGAGTTTAATTTTTAAAAAATAAGCCTCAAACCGCTTTTAAATAACAGTTAAAAAGCAAATTTCAAATGTAATCGCTCACTATTTACCGTTATGACACACAATTGGCCGCTTTTGCGAACAAACATATTCAGCAATATGTCACCGCTATTGCGTGATAGCGTAACGAGCGATAGCGTCGCGGGAAGAGACCGCTAATGCTATTAGCGCCACTATTGCGGGGCTATTTACCGCTATTTATAACAATACGTAGGATTCTATTAGCATTCAAGGATTGTTAGTTTCTTGGGCTAATTGGGTTTGGTTCAAAGGCCATATATCTAGATTAGCTTCTTGTGCTTGAAAGGTGTTTATGCAATGTCTCCTAACACAAGAGTTCTTCCGTAGGTGCAAGCTAAATGTTGTCTTGTGGTGCTTGTTGTGTATGGCTGCTAGTGAGAATATTACACATCTCTTTCTAGAGTGCCCAATCGTGTGTGATATTTGGGGTCATGCATTCACACAATTGATGGTCGGATAGGAGTCATTTTCATCTATACACATGGAGTTTGAGGCTATTTATATTAAAGGTCGTCGACGAAGCGTTATTTGGAGTAAACATGCACTGCACATTTCTTTTGAGGGTATTACTTTTGTGTGGAAAGAGAGGAATAGGAGATTGTTTACCTCTGATCCACCTTTGGATACTTACGCAAGTTACTTATTTAGTGCTCAACAATTTCAAGTGTTGGAAGACTCGAGTCTCATAGTGTTATTTACTTTGTATGCTTCATTTTTCCTTGTTGTTTTTATAGCTCTAGACGTGGTTCTTATGAATTAGGTGTCATATCTTGTACTTCATTTTTATTTTAATCTAAGGAGGTTCACCTCATTCTTTCCTTTGGCAAAAAAAAAGGTGAGTTAGGTAGAGTTCATATATTTGATTAAGCTAATGTTCTTAACTCCAAAGGCACAAGAAGAAATGCAGTTCTTTCTCTATATCTTCTTATCTGCCTATTCCTTCTTCTCCCTCTTATCTGAATAAAACACTTCCTCTTCTTCTCATTGGAATCTCTTCTGAAGATACTACATTTTGCAGCAACCAAATGACGAAGTTAGTAAAATTTGAAATTACGATTCTAGAATTGAAAACTACTTCTTATATACCTAAATTTATTAGTAAATACTTGTGGTTTACAAATATTTGCTATTGTTTCTAGATAGACATTAGGTCTTGTTTAGTATGCAGGAATGAGATGGAATGGAATGTAATTCCAAATGGCCATTTCCACATTATGTGAGAATGGGCGTTCCCAATTAATTGCTAAGGAATGATCATTCCCACTTAAGTGGGAATCAAAAAATATATATAACTTCCCATTATGCCCCCATTAGCTATGCATTCCAGAAACACAATCTTTAAAAAAAATCTCATCCATTTTTCTTTTTAGCTCGAATGTCAAAACCAAGACTTAATAACGACTCAGCAGAGTTGGCATGCTCATTTTAATCAAGTGAAGACTAAAGTTTTTATATAATATATTATATTTCATCCTCACATACTGTTCGGCGCCACATGCTTAAGTGGCGCCGGACATTGCGATGTAGGACAACTTTTCCATTTTGCATTACATCGTTTCATCTTTCTTTGTTTATATCATATAATATAGCTCTTTGTACAACATTATAAAGATATGCTTTTTTTATATTTAGTTAGTAGTCAAGTGATGATTTACATTATAAATGTAACATTTTTCTTATAATCTTGTGAATGATATAGTACACTTTCTTTTATTTTTCCTTGATTCTTCCTAGACAAGAAATCTCGATTATTTATAAATTATTATTGGGGGAACGTTGTCGAATGAATTACTAGCAAACATTTGTTAGAAGTTAGAGCATGTTCATATTTGTTTTGATTTTCTACATTTATTCTAGTTCAATTCTATTGTCAAATTTTAGTGCATGTCTAAATTAATAATTAATCTAAAATGTAACTATTTTTATCAAAAAAATTCTATAAAAAGGGTTTTTGAACAGTAAGTCAATATATGGAAATTGTTGCTAAGGTGGCGTGCCAATATAAAACTATACAATGACAAGTTATTTCTATGAAAAAAATAAAATGTTATTCTTATATAACTTATTTCTAAAAGTTTGAAATTATTTAGTCATTGTTAATATTATTTTTAATATTTTAAAAATCTATGCTATTATAAGGGCATTATTGTAAAATAACAATACATTCTCACTTTTGAACACTGGATACCAAACGTGGGAATGTGATGACATTGTCATTCTCACTTCATTCTCTAACCGCACCCAAACATGAGAACGATAATGAGCATTCCATTCCCACATCAGTTACATTCCATTTCTTCCTGCATTCCATTCTAACTTGATTTGATTCCCACATACCGAACAAGGCGTCAGTGTCAAACCCTTATATAACATAAGATGTCAAACACCACAATTACCATAGACCTGGACACATGGACATAAATGTATATGTGTAATTTTTCCAGTGTTTATATTTTGCTCGTTTAAGAATATTCATTGGGTTGTTATTCACATATGACATAAGATGAGTTTTATTACTTCATCTTTGAGATACTTTTAAGGTTCACAATTTTCGCCCTTGCAAGTGTTAGACATGAATCAACATGCATGTGTATGAAATACATTTGCTGAGGGGAAGTGTCTTATATGGCCACGTATCAAAGCCTTAAAGCCAAATATAATTGAGGCTATCTATAACATAGTTCAATGTACTAGAAAAGTATGGTGCTATACTACCATAAAAAGATCATAAAAGCAAGACCAATGAATGGGTCACATTGAAGTATGCTACATAACCCTTCACATCTATTAAACACTAACCAATCAAAACCAATAAAACATGAGGAAAGAAAGACCCAACGGTATCTATCGATCATAATCACAATCTACCACCTATAACAAGCCTTAAAGATGCATTTATGCTGTCTGATAAAATGCTTAATTAATCATCCCTCCTCAAACACATCACTACCATTACACTCAAAGCTAAATACTAAACTATAACACAAAATCCATGAAATAAGCAATTACGAAACAAAAAAAAAACCTTTCTTGAGCCCAGGGCAAGCCTTCTCCCCTTTATAAACCACCGGAACCAACACCGTCATGTCCTTACCCTCATCTGCCCATGCCATCACCAAATTCAGAATCTGCCCTGTCTCCTCATTCTTATGCACCTTAAGCCCCAAAAAATCGCAATCAATTCAAAAACATAATATAGTATATGGTCTTTTCGATATTAGTCCTTTAAATCTTCAATATTTTGAAATTGGTCCCTCAAACATTTGAAGCTGCTATTAGGTCCCCCAAGCCTTATGTATTGTGAATCAGCTACATCCACTTTTGGTTAGTTGGAGGGATAAACTTAAAACAAACTATAAGAATTGGGGACCAAATAGCAATTTCAAGGCTAAATAGCACTTAAACACCTTATAGAAATTTCAATATATATAATATATATATATATATATGTATATATATAGTAATATAGAGAGAAGAAGAGAGAGAGAGAAGAGAGAGAGAAGAGAGAGAGTAGTAGATTTGGTACCAAACACAAAAATTGTGCTTGTATATGGTGTCACATTGCCTCGCCACTCATATGAAATTTGGACCCAGACTCACATGGATTGAGGAGATGTTGTGAATAACAATAAGTGGATGAAATGTGTACACCTAAGTACTAAGACCAACACCAAATTGGCTCGTACAAGCATAAACTCATTTTCTCATATAATATAATATAAATATACTATATATAATATAATATATATATATATTAAATAAATAACACTATGTTTTATTTGACATTTAATACTTTGCTCCTAACTATATATATATATAATATATATATAATATATCTATATATATTTATTAGTGAATATATATACTATATATATATATATATATATATATATATATCTACTATACATATATCATTAAGTCAAATAAAACATAGTGATATATATATAATAGTATATTATTATTATATAATATAATATATATAATATATATTAATATATATAATAATATATTATCCATTATAATATATATATATTATTATATATATATATATCCTATGTTTTTATTACATATATATATATGATATATACTATGTTTTTATTTTTGACATCTAAGTACTTGCTCGCTTAACATCAAGTTAATACCTCTAGTAATCAATCCCCCAAATATTCTCATGGAAAATTCCCATGCTAAAATATGCTCAACTATACCGTAGAAACCATAAAGTATTTAAGTTATATTTATCCAATTTCAATGACTTGAGGGATTAATTTCAAAAAAAATCAATAACCATCAAGATTAAAAAGCGCTAACCTTAATAGGCAACACGGTTCCAGATTGAAGAACCGTAGAGGATCCGTGACCAGCGTGGACCTGGAGATTGAAGACGGTGGAGCAAAGGAAAGGTGAGTTCTTTATTAGGGCTTTGATTTGCTTGGCGTCGTTGCGGGATTCTGGCCTTGGCCGCTACGGGTCGAGGCGAACGCCGGGTATTCCGGCCCTGCCGCCGCTCCTTGTACGGCGAGCCTGTGCCCGCGTGCTCCCGCGGGATCGCTTGATCGTTTGTAGGTTCGGGTCTGAAGAGGAGGAGGAGATGCGCCGGAGTAGAGCAGCGCCGCCGCCGGCGATGAGACGCCACCGGTTCATTTTTTATGGGTTTTTAGGCTTGGAGTTGTAGAGAGTTTGAGGGTTTATGAGAGTGGGTTTCGGTTGTTGTAGAGACCAGGGAGGGTTGTTGTGTGTCATTCGGCCTGTTGGGCCTAAATTTTAGGGGAAAACAGCCCAAATATAGTTTGATTTGGAACTTATTATCCAGTAATTTAATTTTATAACAGATAGACCCCATGAGTGAATTTTTCGTCTCTTTTAAACTTGGCGAAAGCTTCGTAGGGTTGGTGAAATAAATTAGTGAGTCTACTTGAGAGCAAAGAGTCAAAAAAAATCATGTGTAGATCTATCTGCCAAAATTAAGCTATTGAGATAATAAGTTTGAATTTCCGATATTACAAGGGGTCTGTGTGCATTAACACTAAAAAGAATAAAATTATATGATGGTTTAAAGAAATTACTGTGGCCTATTGTCGAATTTTGAAGGAGAATATCCAAAACTATTTTAATTACTGTATTCTATTGTTGAATTAAAATTTTCTAATGAAATTACTGTAATATATTGTCGAATTTTGAAGGAAAACATCCAAAAGTATTTTAATTACAAAAAATTAAGTTTCTTATCCTAACTCTAGGATAATCAAAGAGTATTGAAGTTCGAACTATGTTGTTCGGATAGCGTTTTTTAAGAGGGGATGGGAGGAGTTGGGAAGGTTACAACGCTAACCATCCAAAAATTGTGTTTGTTTATATACATTTTTTTAGTAAGTGAGAGGAATGGTTATGAGGGTTAAAAAAAGCAAATTTACTCACTTTCCTAACCCTCCAAAGTAGATGGATTGGGAGGGGAGTGTTTCATGTCTTTGAATTATAATCAACGCATATTACAAATTTAAAGAATCACAAATAAATCAAGAAAATTTCATAATTTATTGGTTCTTTTCCATGGACCGATGGAACGTTGATCTTGTACTTCGTTAATAGTTGACTAAAGCATTGGATCTTCTGTCGATTGAAGATTGTCGAGGCTCTTTTGAAGATGTTAAAGTCTTCAAATGTATAGTTATTCCGAGTTGCTAACTTGCCAAGTTCTTCCAAGTGTGTAAATTGCCCAGTCTCCAACAATGAGCAATCTCCCCTCCTTTTATCGGCTAAGAGAGAGACAGAGAGTTAATGGCCATTAAAAATGGATTTAGTGGTCATTAACTTAAGAGACAATGGGGGAAACCATTTCCACAAAAATAATTTTTGAGACAGTCAATGGTGATGTTCGCAAGTAACGATCGGGGGCGAAGCTCACTGAGTGGTCATCGATGAAGCTTGTTCTAATGAGCTTCGCTTGAAAGTAGGTAGCAAACTTCCCCATAGGGCATGAATGATGCGGCCTATGTGGGTCTTTTAAGCAAAGTTTTCATGATACTTGGGAGAGTTTCGTTAAAGTTTAGATGAGCTTCATCATGGGCTTATGTTTGAGCCCATATGAAGTGTTTAGCCCATGTCTAAGTCATTTCCAACCCTACGGGAGATGTTCTTTGATAGAGAAGCTGAGATCAATTGGTTCCAATAAGAATTAGTAAATGGTAGTTCTACAAAGAAAATCTATGTTTTCCGCCAATTGGTAGATTTGCTTCATGCCAAATGGGCTATGCTCGAGCAAACCCTCAAGGACAAGTCAAAAAAACATGCCTCAAGGTAATCCATGATAGAGATGCATGGAGCTTCAAGTGTCATGCACTACATAGAACCATTTGGAGGATGAGGTGATGTTTAAAAAAGGACCCATACAGTTTCACAAGTGAAGACTTTAAAAGTAATTAGGTCTTGCAAGTGTAGACTAGAACATAATTAAATGACATTTGGCTTTCTTGTGCTTAACATCAAAATTTTCCTATGTGTCTAGGCTTCATTCCCTAATCTACCTTTGGTATGAGGAGCCCTAATCTACATTCGGTTTGAGGAGCAGGAGCTCACCTATTTAGTGTAGCTTCCTTATATTCCACAACTGTCACACAATTTAGAGGAATAAGAGCTATTCTTACTTTGTATTTCTCCTCCTTATTGCTTGATTGTTGTTGAGATTGGAGGAATAAATGCTCACTACCCTTGTTATTCAAGAGTCTGAGAGTTGCTTGTATGTAGCCTTTATGATCAATGAAAAAAATTATAATTTCTGTCTCTTTTCATGTGTTTAATCTATGCATAGTGTGCTTCTTGCATTTTAGACATGGCTCGGGCTTCATGTGTTAGTGGGAGTTGTTGAATGATATTTGCTACTTGAACTCCTTGTGTAAATTAGATGAAGTTCTCTTAGCTTTCAAACTTAGAAAAAGTTTGCTAAGTTTGTTGAGAAAGTTCATTTGGTGTTCCGGCGAAGTTAGCTAGACTAGACAGCAAAACTCGCTCATGTGATTTGAAATTTCAAATCTACAATTTTCTTACATAAATTTGAGGTGGAGATCACCCTTAGGTGAAATTCAAGGTGAGATTTTAGAGAGAAGCACAGGGCAAGATTCTTGGGCGAAGACCAGGGCGAGACATTTGGGCAAAGCTTACCGAAAGCCTATAAATAGACTGTTTATCTTTTTTTTCTTCACTTTGCTTCCATAACCCTAAACTTCTTCAACCCTTTAGATCCATTCAACTCCGTAACTCCTTTTCTTCACAATAACTCCTCATCGTTAACTCATCAAGGGAAAGCATGTCATCAGTGGATCTCATCAGCCGTAGACGCAATGCCACCACAACTAGAGATGGTATCAAGTAACCCATATACTTCTCTCAACTAGGCCATTATTGGTGAGGCTTCTTGTTCATCAAAACAGTCTTAATCAAGCCTAAATAGTGCTTCAAAGTACTTAAATTAGTTTTACTGTCAACGACGAGACTTTAATGACTGTATTCGGTCTTAGTTCTTAATTTCACAGGCGATGGTGAAGCTTCAACAGTTACTATCAATGGCGCTTCGCATGGAAAACTTCACGTTTTAGGCGGGGTTCACTATTTTAGCCTATTGGGCCTCTAAGCAAACTTTGTCTAGGTGATGCTTGTCATGTTAGTCCACTTGGGCTTCTGAGCTAATCTTGCCATTGTGTTGACGTCAACTATTGTTAAGATGAACTTCGTAAAGACTTGTAGCACTTAACCAAAATTTAATTTTTGTGTTGGGCGAACTCCGCTCTTTAGTGAACTTCGCCATAAACAAGTCTAGTGAGTTCTGCTTATGAGCTTAGTATTTTAATTGATTTTAGAATCATGCTTTCCAATTTATTTTCTCTTTTGTGCAGTTACTCTGCCGGATATGCCTGTTAGCTGGCATAATCACTTTGGACACAACGGGGCTCAAGATCCACTGATGTTGCACATTTTTAGAGGTAATATTCCACTATTTTTTAGGAGAGCAACCAGGAGTGGAAAGATGCAATCTATCAGGGGAGATCCGCTACTTTGAGGGAGTTTATCATTGATCTTGAGTTCTCTATCCCAGAGGGAGATCAATCTGAGAAGCTTTGTAATTCTTGTTTGGCGACGGTAATTCAAGGGGGTACCTCCATTTTTAACTTAGAGAGCGGTTGTATTATACTCGAGCGGACTGCTGCTTCTACTTACCGGTGATGGAGTAACATGTGTTGTTCATGTTTCGACAACATCTCATCGTTCCCCGCTCAATGCCACTCTTCATCATTAAAAAGAAAGATAGTGTGGTGGTGGGTGGGTTGAAATCTAAGGGAAGCTTCTAAAATGAAGGGCGGTTAGCCTTAGCAATGTTAATCTCCATGTAGGCTGTCTAAAAATTATTGTAGATAGCTGGTCCTCACAAAACACTAACGATAAAAATTACAATCTGACGACTTTCATGACAACAGATGAGAGTTATAAAATTGGCGACTCTCACATTTCTAAGAACCAAATATAAGGATTACAAGCTGATGATCCTTACAAAATTCAAAAAAAAAAAGATTACAATTGACGATCTTTTCAAAGCTAAACGCGAGGGTCCACCCTCGCATTCCAAACTCTAAATACGGGGCTCACCTTCCCATTCCAAACTCCAAACACAGGGCTCACCCTCACATTTCAAACACCAAACACAGGGCTCACCCTCACGTTTCAAAAGCCAAACGCGAGTGTCCACCCCCGCTTATCGAAGCTAGAACGCGGACATCGCATTTGACAGTTTCAAATTACTTGAATGGTTATCCACTTAATGGGGCGATTAAACCCCCATTATGGAGCGAATTAAGGAGTCAGTTACACCCCTTAAACCCTATAAATAGTTGGGTTTATAGCTAAAAAAGTGTGAGAGCTTGTTGGTGAGAGCTTTTTGGTTGGCTTTGGTTAGAGCTTTTGAGATAATTTGACTTGGCTTTTTTGAACCATTTTCAGTTGAAGAACTTTGAGATCAGCTGTTTAGCTTATTTCGGTTGAAAAAGTATTAAATTTTCTTTCTGAAATTAACTCTTTTACAGAATTCTTAAACTCATTTAGAGTTCTAAACTTGTCTGGCAAGTTCTTCCCGATGTTAAGTCAAGAAGAGTAGACAAAGTTCCACGAAGCAAGGTGTTCGGATCGTCAACAGAGTACAAGAATCAAACTCTCATAGGCACCAAGAAGAACCCGGTATTAAACAAAGGGAAGAATCTTTGTTGATCTTTCTCTCTTTTGGAAATTAGGAAACTAATAAAGAAAAATTATAATTTCTTTTTCTAAGTCAGTTAGAGAGAAGTTACTTTGAGAGATTATATTTATTCTTTTTCTAAGTCAGTTAGGGATATTAATACTAATCTATTTCTTAATTTTCTTCTAATTATTCCTACAAACAAAAGATGACGACTCCGC